CATCGCCATCGTCATCATCATCATCATCATCATCATCATCATCATCATAATCAGAATTATAATCATCAGCAGCAGCAGCAGCATCAGCATCAGCATCATCAGCATCACCATCATCGGCAGCATCAGCAGCATCAGCAGCACCAGCATCATCAGCATCAGCATCAACATCATCCTCATCACCCATCATCATCAGCATCATTATCATCCTAATCATCATCTCATCATCCATCAGCATCATCATCAGCATCATCAGCAGCATTATCATCCATTAGCATCATGATCATCAGCATCATCATGATCAACATCATCATCATAATCAGCATCAGCATCATCATCATCATCAACGTCAACAGCATCCTCATCCATCATCATCATCGTCATCATCATCGGCAGCATCAGCATCAGCATCATCATCAGCATCAGCATGAGCAGCAGCATCAGCATCATCATCAGCATCCTCATCACCATCATCATCACCCATCATCATCATCATCGCCGACATCAGCATCATCATCACCACCATCATCAGCAGCAGCATCAGCATCATCATCATCATCATCATCATCATCATCATCATCATCTTCACCATCATCAGCATCATCTCATCATCACCATCTTCATCATACACCATCCTCAACATCAGCAGCAGCATCATCATAATCAGCAGCAGCAGCAGCAGCATCATCAGCATAATCATCATCAGCAGCAGCAGCAGCATCAGCATCAGTGGCATCATCAGCAGCATCAGTATCGTCATCATCAGCAGCAGCATTACTATCATCATCACCATCAATATCATTATCATCGTTATCATCATCATCCTGCTCCTCCTGCTCCCCCTCCTCCTGCTCCTCCGCCTCCTCCTCCTCCTCCTCCTTCTCCTCCTCCTCCTCCTCCTCCTCCTCCTCCTCCTCCTCCTCCTCCTCATCATCATCATCATCATCATCATCATCATCATCATCATCATCATCATCATTATCATCATCGTCGTCATAGTCATTGTCATCGGTTTCATCATCATCATCATCAGCAGCAGCATCAGCAGCATCATCATCAGCATCGGCAGCATCATCCTCATCATCATCAGCATCATCATCATTGTCATCATCAGCAGCAGCATCAGCATCAGCATCAGCATCATCAGCCTCAGCATCAGTATCATCAGCAGCATCATTAGCATCATCATCGTCATCAGCATCGTCATCATCATACCCATGTCGGCGGGGGCTCGAGTGGGCGGGCCCACGTGGCGGCCGCCGCCCCAGCTTACACCAGTGCACTTCGAAACGGCTCTCCGTCCGAGGCGCCTGGTGCCTGCTGCGGCTGCGCGTGCTGGCTGGCAGGCGCGGCACCGCCCGTCGGAGTGGTCCTCCACGAGTGGGCACATGGGCAGGGGCTGGCAGGGGCTTTGGGTGCCTGCTGCTCCATGCGGCGGAGGGGCCGAGGCGGCATCGCGGGGACCTCGCCGTGCTCCTCGGGCAATCGGCAGCTGGGAGCGGGGACACCTGCCCCTGGGCGGCTGGAAAGTTTACACCCCTACGGTGCCACCGTCAGGGTATAAACTTTCCAGCCGCCCAGGGGCAGGCGCCCTCGACGGCGAAAAAGTTTCTTTTATACCGTTCTTCGCCCGTTAAAAGACGGGAGGTGGAAGGCACGGGCGCTGAGGCTCCCGGGGGTGGCGCTGCGGAAGCTGCGAGCCGGCAGCGTGGGGAGGCCCCTCGCGGCTGCTCGACCCCGGAGGAGCCGGGGGCCGGCGCCGAGGCGGCCTGCGATGCGCAGGGCGTGGGCAGCTGGCACGCAGTGCCGAGGCGGCGCAGCAGGTCCGAGGAGAGCATCGCACAAAGGCAGAGACGGCAGGCGCTGGCGCGCTGGGGCGGCGCTGCGGGAGCTGCTCGTCGGCAACGGTTACGTGGGGCATTTCCTTCTTCAGGCGGATTGTGGAGGAACAGCGAAAAATAGCAAAAAAAAAATCAAGATTTGTCAAAGACAATCGCAAAATCGTCCTCAGACTATTTTTGTTACTATTTTTGTGTATGCCTCCTGTAGAGGGACATGCCTGACTTACGGCAACGGGTGGATGAGCTTCCTGGCTTCGCCGCTGCGAAGACGGGAAAAAAACAGAAAACATAGTGCTGGCAGCGAAGTGACCTGCGAATCGCAGGACGTCGGCGGCCGGCACGCGGCATCGGAGCGGCGCTGCAGGTCTGCCAACAGCTGGGACCTGGCTCGGCACGCGGCGGCCGAGGAGGCGGCCCGCTGGGCCAGGCAAAGCATGAAGAATGGCACGGAGCGCAGGGCGGCGACGGTGGTGCAGAAACACTTTTTTTATCCGCGGGTCGAGAGCGCACCTCTTCTGGTCGAAGCTAAGCGGGCCGCGCGAAGCTTGAATTAACGAGGGGGGGACAGAAGGAGAGGCCTCACGACAAGGCCAGGAGGAGGCAGAGCCTCGGGATCAGGCGGTGCCGAAGACGATGTGCTTGCACAGGAACGCCAGGTCGTGCAGAGACACTTCGGGGGGCACCTGGCGCGGAGCAGCGCGCGGAGCAGAGCGGCCGTGGCCGGCAGCTCTCCAGAGCGAGCCCACTGTGCGCTCGCGAGCCGCTCGTCGCTGCAGGCGGCGGCGAGGACGAGGACGCCATCTGCGAAGGGGCCGTCGCGCTCGCGGAGCGGGAGCTGAAGACCACATCGGGGGCAGCTGGCGTGCCCGTCGTGCAGGCTGTAGGTAGGGACCCCACAAATAACGTACGCGCCCAGCTATGTACATGAACGCGGCCCCTTGACCCGCGAAACCTGCCGCGTGATACGAACAATCGTGCTATGCGAACTCTCGAAAACTGCGTGGATTCATGTACGTGTACGTCCTTCTTTCGCTCCTGAGTAGGGGGCGGCAGGCTGTCTCGGCGGCGGAGGGGAGAAGCAGGCCCCTCCGGCAGGGGTCGGGGCGGCGGCGCAGAGGCGGCTGCCCAGGCGGCGGCGGCAGAGGCGAGAAAGGGTCGCCCATGGGCGCCTCGCGGGCCCGGCTGGCGGAGGAGGAGGCCCACCTGGCCCTGTGGATGCCACGACAGTGGGCACCCTAACAGTCCTGCCACTGGATTTAGAACGTGTCTAAATGCTCTGAGCATGCTCTGAACATGTGCTTTACATGCTTAAAGCATGCTTAACACATGTTTTGGACATCTGGAAGTTACTTGGCAGCACGCTGCCTGATCGTCCTCCACAACCTCGCCGAAAAGTCCCCGGAAGTGGCCCTGCTTGCATCCGAGCCGGAGGTTCTGGACGCCGAGGCGGCCGAGCTGGATGGAGGGGCCCTGGAACACACAACTAAATACACACAAATAAAAGGATTCCCCATGTTTTCCCATATGTTCTTGGTTTCTGTCTTCCCCCACACTTCCCACATTTTCCTATTTTTTCCTGGGAGTCGACCATTGATTGCGTCTCTGCTTTTTGTCCCCCTCCTGGCTGGAGGCGGAGCCGCCGGGCAGCCCCGGTCGACCAAATCCCGGGCGCGGCCACCGAGGTCGGCCGGGAGGCGCTGGGGCGGCTGCGAGGGCGACCGTGCCCCGTAGGCTTGCTGCTCGGGCCGCCCTCCCCCCCCTCACGGGGTGTGCGCTCGGGTGGTCGTGTACTCGCCATCGCTCGGACGTCCATTCCCTGTGTTTTTTGCCCGTTTCGTGTGTGATTTTTCACCAAACGATCAAGGATGCTCCTCGATGGTCCTCGCCGAAGGAAAGTTGCATACGTCCGAGCGATGCCAAGCTCACGGGGTGCGCGCTCGGGCGGTCGTGCACGGCTCGCTGTTCTCGAGCGCTTCTGGCGGAAGGGGCAGCGCCTGCCCCTGCCGCGCAGCGGCTCGGCGAAGTCGCCGATACACCAGTTCCCATTCCCCACTCTCTCCTTCTCCTCCTTCTCCTCCGTCTCCTCCTCCTCCTCCTGCTCCTCCTCCTCCTCCTGCTCCTCCTCCTCCTCCTTCTCCTCCTCCTCCTTCTCCTCCTCCTCCTCATTCTCCTCCTCCTCCACCTCCTCCTGCTCCTCCTCCTGCTAATCCTCCTCCCCTCCTCCTCTCCTCTCCTCCTCCTCCTCTCCTCCTCCTCCTCCTCCCTCCTCCTCCTCCTCCCTCCTCTCTCCCTCCTCTCCTCCTCCTCCCCTCCTCCTCCTCCTCCTCCTCCTCCTCCTCCTCCTCCTCCCTCCTCCTCCTCCTCCTCCTCCTCCTCCTCCTCCCTCCTCCACTCCTCCACATCTTCCTCTCCTCCTCCACTGTCCCTCTTCTCCCCATGCCTCCCCCTCCCTCTCCTCTCTCCCTCCTCCTCCTCCTCCTCATCATCATCCTCCTCCCCGTCCCTCCTCGTCGATCCTCTCGGATCGAGGACCGGAATTTGCAGACGTTTCTGGCCCCTTCAGGGCCTCCAGAGGCCCCCAAAGTCCGCCTAATGGCCTGCCCAGGCCTCGAGAGGCCTCCTTCGTCGTCGTCGTCGTCGTCGTCGTCATCCCTGCGGGGACAACAAGATTCCAATACCGTTCCTGACCCGACCTCGCCCAGGGTGCGTTCTGACCAAGCCTCCGGGGAGAATCCAGCCGTGGCGACGAGGGCCCTGCAGGACGAGCCGCGACATCGGCACTTCTTCCTGCTCTGAGCCCTCGTCCTCGCCGTCCTGGTCGCCCTCGCCGTCTGCGTGGATAGAGTGGCAGAAAACCGGAACGTAAACTTCTGGAGCTCCGCGGTGATTTCTTGGACCTGCGCAGGCGCCGCAGGGACTTCCGGCACACATCACAAGAAATCCGCGCGGAGCTCCAAAGGTGTGTGTATATGCTGTCGTTTGCCCTTCTCCTCCTCCTCCTCCTCCTCCTCCTCCTCCTCCTCCTCCTCCTCCCTCCTTCCTTCCTTCCTTCCTTCCTTCCTTCCTTCCTTCCTTCCTTCCTTCCTTCTCCTCCACGTTTACGCTTACGGCATAAGCCTTATGCCGTGGTCTCGTCTTCGCTTGGGGCGCTGGGCCGCCGGCCTGTGATCGGGGTGAAGCCGCCCATCCTGTCGAGGGTGTCCTGCGGGCCCCACCGCCGCCGGAAGGCCGCAGGCCCCCACGGCCCGGAAGGGGCGGGGTCGAGGAAGAGGCGAGGTCGTCTTGCGGCAAGGGGCGACGAGATCTATACATGTGCACTGCTCCCTGGCCAGGCCCATCCTGGGCCCGGGAGCCGTGAAGAATTGCGCCCGCCTGGCGTGGCCAGGGAGGCATCTGCACCGTTCCTGGGCCCATGATGGGCCTGGCCAGGTAGATCTCGTCGCCCTGCGGGTGGTGGGCGCCGACTGAAGGCGTCCGCGGAGCCGCCAGGCTGCAGTCAACCCGCAGAAGAAGGGCGCACGATGAGGACGCAAGGGCCCTAAAAGGCCAACTGTTGACGCTTTTTGCGAGCGGGGCGTGGCCAGCGAAAGGCGGCCCAGGATGGGCCAGGTGGGGGGACAAGGGCAAGCTTGGAAACCCGCTCATCTTTACAATGCGGGCTGATTGTGGAGAAAGTCCGCGGGCGGTGCACTCCCCCTTTGCTCGGGGCCGCTCACGTCACCGCCTCGCGAAGCACGCGAGACGGTGGCGGGCGGCCGAAGCCCGCGCGGCCGAAGAAGAGCCAAAGCCAGCTGGCCCCCGAGGAACGTCCCCGTCGATCGGGAAGACCGCGAGCGGCCTTGCCGAGCTTCCTGCGATGATTATCCCGAATGGAAGGGACCATGGATGGTCCACGACAACGTTCCTGAAGGAGGATCGTCGAGGCAAGGGCGAAGGCGGAGGCGAGAAGGCGACCTGCGGGACTGCACTGTGAGGGGCTCGAGGTGTGCACCAGGCCGCCTGGTCGGCCAAGGAGTTCAGTGCATGCAACGCCCTAGCTATCCAACCCGTGGGATGCTGGAGCTTCTATACACTCGGACCGTATTATGAGGACGCAAAGTCATGAGGACGCAAATGGCTCGGCAAGGACGCAAAGGACTCGGTAAGGACGCAAAGCCCTTAGTCGTCCAGGTTGGATGTGTTCGAGCGACTTCAGACGAGCCGAGGAGGTCGAGGAACGGCCAAAAAGGCACGGGACGCGAGCGCATCCTCGGAAACCAAGAGGCCTCGCAATGCGGTTCGACTGCACACCGACGTCGTTCACCGACTCCCTTCCCTCCTTGGCTGACCAGGCGACGTGGTGTACGCACCGGGCCCCATCCAGTGCACCGCGAGGGTGCCGCAGCTGGCCATCGCTCGGACGTCCCTTCCCTGTGTTTTTGTTCGGTTTCGTGCGTGGTTTTTTCGCCAAATGATCAAGGATGCTCCTCGATGGTCCTCGCCGAAGGAAAAATGCACACGTCCGAGCGATGCCAAGGCAGGGAGGGGCCGAGAGCGCCCCGAGCTGTGGCATGGGCCTGGGACCTCCGGGCGGGGCTTCTGCGGGGCGGTGCGGTGGAGCGGTCCGCTGCCCCGCCCCGCGAAGGGCGGCGAGGGCTCCCCAGGACCAGCAGCGGCATCGGCATCCTTGGTGGCGGCCAAGACGGGGGCGTCCAAGACGGGGGCGGAGGAGGGGGCGCGACTCCTGGCCGGCGGCACGTGCGCGGCCCAAGGGGGGGGGGGAACCGGGCGGGCACGCACCGAGACAAGAAGAGGCGCCATGGAGCCCCGGGGGGTGCCGTGCCCCCCGCCACGACACCCACACCCTCCTAGTCCTCCCCCCCCCCTTCTTGGCCGCCCCCGGCATCCGTTCCTCCCCCGAGCCGCGAGCGCCCGGGCCGCGAGAGCAAAGTGACTCTCGAGGCGGGCCTCGCACACTCATCGCGTCCCTCCGTGGCGGCGGGGCCGAGCTGCGGGCGCCGAGCCGCTGCCTGCGAGACCCCGACAGGGGGCCCCTGGGAGGGCCTTCGGGGGGCCCTCGGGGGGCCCTGGGGAGGCGCTGGGGAGGCCCTCGGGAGGACGGCCCTCGCCCTCGGAGGGCCTGGAAGGGCCAACCGAGGAGCGCCCGGAGGGGGCCCTCCTCGAAGGGCCCTCGCGGAGGGGGGCCCTCCTCGGGGGCGCTCTCGCGACGGGCGCCCTCGGCGAAGCCCTGCGAGCGGCCCCCCGTGGGGGCGGGCCGCCGCGCGCCGAGCCGCCGAGCCGCCCGAGCCGCCCGAGCGCCCGACGGCGCGAGCGCCCGGCGGGGCGCTACCCCCGTCCCCCCGCCGGGGCGGCGGGGGCCCTCTCCTCCGCGCCGAGCAGCTCCAGGGCGCGGTCGCGCGCCTCGCGGCGACGACGGCGACGACGACGACGACGACGACGACGACGACGACGACGGCGACGGCGCTTGGCCCCCCAGAGAGCGGCCCTTCGGGCCCGCGCCGGTCCCTCCGTTCGCGAGGGCGCCTGCCTCCCCCCCCATGCTTCGACTGCCTCGACGGGCCGTGGGCCTGCGCCCCTCCGCGGAGGGCGCCCGAGGAGCTGGGAGAGGAGGAGGAGGAGGAGGAGGAGGAGGAGGAGGAGGAGGAGGAGGAGGAGGAGGAGGAGGAGGAGGAGGAGGAGACAGGAGGAGGAGGAGGAGGAGGAGGAGGAGGAGGAGGAGGAGGAGGAGGAGGAGGGGGAAGGGGAGGAGGAGGAGGAGGAGGAGAGGAGGAGGAGGAGGAGGAGGAGGAGGAGGAGGAGGAGGGGGAGGAGGGAGGAGGAGGAGGAGGAGGAGGGAGGAGGAGGAGGAGGAGGAGGAGGAGGAGGAGGAGGGAGGAGGAGGAGGAGGAGGAGGAGGGGCAGGGGAGGAGGAGGAGGGGGGGAGGGGGAGGGGGAGGAGGAGGAGGAGGAGGAGGAGGAGGAGGAGGAGGAGGAGGAGGAGGAGGAGGAGGAGAAGCAGGAGGAGGAGGAGGAGGAGGAGGAGGGAGGAGGAGGAGGAGGGGGAGGGGGGACGGGGAGGAGGAGGAGGAGGGGGAGGGGGAGGGGGAGGAGGGGAGGAGGAGGAGGAGGAGGAGGAGGAGAGGAGGAGGAGGAGGAGGAGGAGGAGGAGGAGGGAGGAGGAGGAGGAGGAGGAGGAGGAGGGGAGGAGGGGGAAGGGGAGGAGGAGGAGGGGGAGGGGGAGGGGGAGGAGGAGGAGGAGGAGGACAAGGAACGGATTGATTAACATCCGCGCTGGCGCAGCCCACATGCGCCTCCAGAGGTGAGCGAGCCTCCTGGGGGGAGACAGTGAGCTCCACGACTGCACGGTGGGGCCGAGTCAGGAGAGGAGCCACGGCGGCGCGCGCAGCCCGGAACTGAAGCGAGAGCGACCACGGCACATTCACGGGGACAGCGCCCACCTGGACGAAGTGAAGTGAGCAAGGAACAGCATTGGTGATAAGGACACCAGATGGCACCATAATGGCAAGCCGACCCATTCAAGCTAACACGAAGCCTGAGACTGGCAAGATTGCCGGGCACGGACGGGCGCGCAGCGGCGCCAGCGTCGGCCGGAGTTTGGCTCCGCGTCGTCGGCGTTGGCCGTCGAATTAGCTCCACTCGCCCTTACCTCGCCATCGCTCGGACGTCCATTCCCTGTGTTTTTTGTCGGTTTCTTGCGTGGATTGTTCGCCAACTGATCAAGGATGCTCCTCGATGGTCCTCGCCGAAGGAAAAATGCACACGTCCGAGCGATGCCGAGTTACTCCCGTGGCCACCTCTTCCAAGCTCTGGGCACTGACCGCACTTTGGAGCACGGCAGCATCACCTTCGTACTCGTCCAGCACAGAACACACCACCCACACCCACAAGAGAAGGAAGAGGAGGAGGCTCAAGCGAGAGGTCCAGCACGAAGATACTTCTCGCGAGGGCGCAAGCAAAATATTTGTAAAACGCGGTGCGCCCATGGCGTCTGAGGCCCTGAAGGAACTCTCAAGCGAGCCCACTCTTCACAAACTGGCCTCGATGGAGAAACGCCCAACAATCAATGCACAGAAACAATCGGCCCTGTCGGTGCACGAAAGGACAACGACATTATGTCGTAGTCTGTCCATCTCATCATGGTTGGTATGCTCGGCCCCCTGGATTCCCGAACAGCGGCCAGGCGGGGAAACCGCGGACAAGCGAGAGCCCTGGTAGCAAACGAAACACCATGCCTCTGGACCGGCGCCTGACCCCCCCGGTCTCTGAGTCTCTTTTCGCGTTCGCAATCCGGCAAATCCGCCGACCCTGTCGGCGTGTGCCGAGGGGTTGTCTGTACGAACCGTCGTCTCCGTCAGTCGTCGTCTGCGTCGTCAACATTCCCTGCACCCCCCTCCTCAAGCCTGTCAGCGAGAGAAAAACTTCGCAATGTCGCAATCGAATCGAAGGGAAGCCCCTTCCCTTTGATCCCTCCCCGTCGGGGGGGGACCCGGGGGGGGTCAGATACGCATACCCCCCCTGGGGTTCCGGGGGCTGCACAAAGTACCAAAACAAGCCAAGAGTGCCCCAAGAAGCCCCCGAGACGGTCCAAGGAGGGCCCCCACTCGCCAAACGATCGGTCCCAAACGCCTTCACGCTCCCAGATTGCCCAGGAGACCTCCATGATGCCCCAAGAGGCCTCCAAAGGCACTCCCGAAAGGGCCACAAGAAGCCCCTTGCGCTTGCACGACAGCAACTCCGCAGGTGGTAGATTAAAACGCTCTTCCATGGCCCAGCAATTAGAAAGAAAGGGGATCAACAACGGTCTGAAGACTGGCCATACCCAGCGCAGTGGGCCCAGCTGCTGGAACACTCTGCGGCAAGGAGCTGCGCGCAGTGTCCCGGACAGAAGAGAGCACAGAACCCTTCCGCGCGGCACAACCCATCACCCGCGCGGTTGAGGCCGGCCACAGGATGCCCGCAGCAAGAACCGTCGAAGTAGAAGTTACCAGCCATGTCCTCGCTCCCACCTGCCCTCCAATCGCATCACCTCACGCCCATCGTGAGCGGCGGGGCAGGCCACGCGGCCTCGGGGTGCTCGAACACCCCACGACAAAAGAGCAGGCGATGGGAGGAGAAGGAGGAGGAGGAGGAGGAGGAGGAAACGGCCAGAGCTTCGGCACGAATTGGGGGCCGCGGATACCTCGCCCCCCAAGCCCACTCCACCCCTCGGAACACGCAGCGCCAGCCCACACAGCCCACGGCGGATACTCTCGCGCCCAGCTCCACACAAAACGGACACGTTGGACGATCGCCAGGGAGGAGACAGCCTAGGGCAACAGCACGATCGGGATTCCAGACTCCCCTGCGGCCTGAGAGGCGGACGCAGCCCCGCTCGAGCGGGGAAAACTTCTCGCTACGAGCCTGGATCTGAATGGTGCCCGCGCAAGGCCCGTTCCATCCAACCCCACGTGTTGTAGCAAAACTGCACCCCGGCAACCGAGCACATCGGTGTCGGGCAGTGCCCTCGGGGAGAGCAGGGCTCACGGAGGCGAGACACGGACGTCAACATCGCCGCGATCCCCGATGGCGGCAAAGCCCGCGGCGCCAGCGCGGGTCGGAGACGTCGCAAGCAATTTCTTTGAATTTGACTACCTACCAGACCACCTCAACCCAACCCGACGACCCGAATTTCGGGTTGCGGGGGGTACGGGTTCCATATGTGTTTTCTCGATGTTCCCCGACCCCCCCCCCCCACTGGAAATGGACGTCAATTTGAGGCCTTCGGGTTGGGTTGGGGTGGTTTGGTGGGCGGTGAGAATTAGAGCCCGCGGGGAGGGCACCGCAGAGATGCAAGCGAAACATGGCCTTCTCGAATTGGGTTAGGCCCACCTCGCGCGAGGCGGAAGGCCAGCGCGAAAATTCCCACCAAACCGGCCGTGCCGCGCAGAGTCTGCCGGCACACGCTCGCACGTGGTCTTGCGCGCGCAAGAACTTTGAACCGTTCTGCGAACTTGCGAGCGACTAGGAGCGGCGATAATTCAGCCAACTTCAAAACAGCACCTAGCCGGTCGATCAGGACACCCAGCCCCTGGACACCCCCGTCGGCTTCTTCGAGCCAGAGGAAGCGTCAGACATCTGCCCATGGTTCCGAAGAAAAAAAGAACTCTCGCCCTGGGAGTTTGAACCCTGCCCCTGAGCAGCCAATTGCGCTCTCGAAGGCGCGGCCGCACACAGTGCACCTCGATGGGCCACTTCAGCAGAACTCACTTAGGGTCCATATCCACCACTCTGCAACCATTCTGCCAACCGTCTTGGCAGAGTCGATCGGATCCGCACTGCGGCTACAGTCGGGGCGTTGACCTAAGGAACCCTAAATAAGGAACGAGGCCCCTTTTTTTCCATAAGTTCAAAGGAACGCGGAGCCCCTCCCCAACGAAAAGGGTTCCTTCTTCAGGGCCCCGACTGTAAGACTCCAGGCAAGATCAATCCGGGCAACTCTAAACGCGACTCCTGAGCCGCGGCCTGCGGCGCCTCGGGCCTGGCGAATCTGGCGGAGGCTGACAGCGTGGGCCTCGGCCCCGCGGGTGAGAGTAGACTTACGGTTTGTCCAAAACTGCCTGCTACGACGTCCAATTGCTAACTTCGCACGCTTCCCCCTAGCTCGCTTTTCTGCACGTTTGCCGAAGCCGCTTGCGGCCGGCACCTGGCATCAGCCCACGTCGCCCTCCAAGATAGTCGATTCTGAGATCAGTCACAGCACCAATGGGAAACAGAGGCCCGCCAAGGCACCCCAGGGCTCGGCAGGCAACCTGGAGGAGGGGCCCACTGGAGGCTGCTGGACCGAACTTCTTGTAGGCCATGGGGAGCTTGAGGTATTGGGCCAAGTACTTGCGGACCGATGCTGCTAGCTGTTTCAGGTGACTGACTACTTCGAACAAGTGGCCCACCCAATGCATGAGAATGAGGTCATCAACATGAAAGGGGCACGCCAGCAGCATCGCTCATTTAGCTAGCACATCGGCCCACGCCGGACTCGACGGAAACCTTCTTGCCTCGTGCGCGGCCAACGCGGAGCCCGCAACTACGCCGCGCCACGGAAAGAGCGCCTGGTCCAAGTGCCCGCCCAGCAGCAGGCGCCTGGGCCATTTGCAGGTAGACAAACCGAAAAAGACGAGGCGGCCCAGGCACCGGCAAGACTGCCCTGCCTGGACTAGCCCGTCGCAAGAGACGCACTCGTAAAATTGCCTCATATCCAATCGGACCTGCGGAGGAACCCCCCCGAGAGCCCAGCAAATTATGATAAGACGCTTTGCCTCCACGCCACGTCAGACGGGGGCCTCCTCGGACGCATTCAAAAACATGGAGACCGCGAGCAGCTCCCCGTTCTCTTTCTGCGCCTTCTCGCAGCTCCTTTAAAACAC